TAAAAAATCTGATGTGTACACCACATAACTTCCTTGTACGCAATATTAAAATATACGTATTTTTTCTTGCATTTCATTTAAACTTATTGGATTGAATTAAATCTACTTCGCCGACAGCGCATAAACCACAATAGAATAAATGCATTCTTTAAAATTCACAGTAGTATTTGTTTACCATAGCGACACTCTGGCGCTAGATTCACTTAACAGTATTATATTTCGTTCATATTATCTCTCATAATGCACAAAATTTATTTCATTTAAAAAATAGAATTATCTAATCGTTGCCACATGTTCTATTCAAGTACTATAATAAATAATAAAGCTAGAATGATGTATAAAAGAAATTAAACAAATAAAACAAAAACGAAACAGTTTTTCACAGACGATTGAGTATTTCTCATTCAATTAATTCAGTTCTCACTTCGTGAGAAGGCAAAAATACATAAAAACTTAAAATATCTATATTAAAAATTACGAAGTAAATCTTAAACGCTTATTTCCTCGAAAAAATTCCAGAAAGGATTCAGCATGATCTAATTGGCAATAATAAATCAAGGTGTTATCTTTGTTTTTGCGAAGCTAAGTTTCTCTAGATTGGAAATACATCCAGTAGTCTGCTGTTTCAAATGTAAACAATCAATGGCCGCAATACAAAAAGGCTCAGCGGCACTTAAACAACTTTAAAATTGTTGATAATTCTAAAAATATTGCATACAGATTTACTAAAGGCATAAAATCCTTAACCTGAAGATAAAAACAACATAATTCAATCATTTTTAAAGCAAAAAATATACAATTTACAAACATATAAGAGTAAAGAAACTGAGATCACTGAGCCGGGTAACAGAGTGGATATATATATAAATATATTTATATACGCTTGGTGCTTCCGATTACAACCAAAATACGAGGTGCACATCTACATGTAATAGCAGTCCTATATACAAAATTTCAACGTTCTGAGGCTACTCGTTTTTGAGTTATGCGAGATACGTACGTACGTACGCACGTACGTACATACGTTCGTACAGACGCCTCGAAAAATTCTCTTCAGAATTTATTTTAAAGCAGTTTTATAATTTTTTTAATGAAAAGAGTTATTTTATTCTGTCCTTACGTACAGATTATCACGCAAAAATAAATCGTTAAATTGCATTCGATTGCAGGTCAAAATTGATATTTTCGTTGAAATATGCTATGCCTGAAACTTTTTGCGATTACAATACTTCCTTTTTACTTCGTACAAGGAAGTAAAAACATTTCCCTCAAAACTAGAGAAAAGGTAAAGTGTTGCAATTTCATCACTTTTTTATTATTCAACATGTACACCTAGAACGACATCCTGATTTGTTTTGCTGCTTTTAAGCTAAGATACTCTCGTAAAAGTATTTTAATTACCATTTTATTTATTATAATTGTATTAAACATTAATAGTGAAATGAAACAATGCATTCGAATAAATTTTAATAATACTCGTATTCAGGATATGAATTGATATTAAGTAAATTTTTAGGTCAATTTTCAGGTGATATTTTGGTAACTTTTTATAACGCCGGAATATTTTTTACGTTTAAAATATGGCATGATATTTACCAGTTGAATGATATATATTTTTAAATTCCTACTATTAGCTCACACTTTTCCTATATTTTATTCAAATTTTCAATCATTAATAAAATTCTTTTCATTCATCTATTCAAGTTCAGATACATATTTTTAAACTTGTAGTGGAGAACATTTGATGTTAATACATTTATTTTTTTTTTGTTTTTTTTTTTTTTTTTTTTTTTTTTTTTTTTTTTTTTTTTTTTTTTTTTTTTTTTTATTTTATTTTTTTTTTTTTTATTTTATTTTTTTTTTTTTTTATTTTTTTTTTTTTTTTTTTTTTTTTTTTTTTTTGTTTTTTTTTTTTTTTTTTTTTTTTGTACTAAGGAATTGACTTTAAATTTTTTTAATTAATTACTAATTAATAAAATACTTTTTATTCATCCACTCAAGTTCAAATATATTTTTTAACTTGTAGTGGATGACACTTAATGTTAATACAATTATTTCACATATTAAAATTTTTAATTAATTTTTTTGTATTTTAAAATTTTTTTTTGTTCACTTAAGTAGGAACTGACTTTAATTTTTTGTATATTACTTCTTTATTGTGTGACACACATTTGTTTTAACAGTAATGCATATTGCATAATATAGTAAGGCTTGAACTTAAAATCATTAACCAAGTTTAAAATAATTTTAAGAATATGAAAATGCTTTTTAAAAATTTATTAACTATAACCCTTGGCAATCAACGACTTTTAGACTCAGTTGGAGACGATTTTTCGTATATTTGGTGAATTTATTACAGCTAACTTAAAATTATTGCACAACCCTTAAAAAATATAATGGTCCTTCTATGTCTAAAGAGGCTTGTGGCCCTGTGGCTCTTCACCGGATATAAAAAATATTCTTTGCGTTATTGCTTGGGATTTTGTGTGCATTATTCATTCTAAATGTTCCGTTTCTTTTGCAGAATCACTTTTGTTTTCATATTCACCATTCTATTAACCTATTTCTTCTTCTAATATCTCTTACTTCATCCCTATCTTCGTCACTGCTTTCATCCTCGCTATCTTCAAGTAGTCTATACATAAACCTAATTGCATTCTTCTTTAAAAATCAAACTCGGCTTCACTTGAACTGATTCCTTTACTGTATTCCATGCTTACTGGGCTCTTTAACTTTTACAATAATATTCCTACTGCCACGACCATCAATTTCAGACGTCAAAGACGCATATACAACAATAAATTTAAAAAATCTGATGTGTACACCACATGACTTCCTTGTACTGAATACTAAATTATACGCAATTTTTCTTGCATTTCATTTAAACTTTATTGGATTGAATTAAATATACTTCGTCGATAGCGCATAAACCAGAATACAATAAATGCACTCTTTAAAATTGACTATATTTGTTTATCACAGTGACACTCTGGCACTAGGTTCACTTAACAACGTTATATTTTATTAATTTTATAACTTGAACTTCAATTTATAAACATATCGCCGGAACTATTACACAAAAGTGTAATTTTACCGGCTCAGTGAGAATGAAGCCTAGAAGGAGCATGATAGTAAGAGTTTCCTGGCTTGGTAATCTCTCTAAAACGGAGACATTTTATAACTGCGAATGCGCAAAATTTATATCATCTGAAGAATTATCTAATCGTTGCCACATGTTCTATTCAAATACTATAATAAATTCAAATAATATACTATAATTCAAATACTTAATAATTTTACCGGCTCAGTGAGAATGAAGCCTAAACGGTGCATGACGGTAAGAGTTTCCTGGCATGGTAATCTCTCTAAGGAGAAACGGAGACATTTTATAACTGAGAATGCGCACAATTTATATCATCTGAAGAATTATCTAATCATTGCCACAAGTTCTATTCAAATACTATAATAAATTCAGATATTATACTATAATTGAAATACTATAATAATTTTACCGGCTCAGTGAGAATGAAGCCTAAAAGGTGCATGACGGTAAGAGTTTCCTGGCATGGTAATCTCTCTAAGGAGAAACGGAGACATTTTATAACTGAGAATGGGCACAATTTATATCATCTGAAGAATTATCTAATCGTTGCCACATGTTCTATTCAAATACCAAAATGAATCTAAAATCGATGTATAAAAGAAATTAAACAAATAGAAAAAAAAGAAACAGTTTTTCTGAGACGTTTCAGTATTTCTCATTCACTTAATTCACTTCTCACTTCTCTACAAGGCAAAAATACATAAAACAAAATTTCTATATTAAAAATTACGAAGTAAATCTTAAACACTTGTTTCCTCGAATAAATTCCAGAATGTATTAAGTATAATTTAATTTGTAATAATAAAAGAAGGCGTTATCTTTGTTGGTGCGAAGACAGCCGCTATGGTAAAAATAATTAGGCTTAGCCGCACTTAAGCAACATTTAATTTTTTTATAAATCTACAAATACTGCATGCAGGTTTACTAAAGGCCTTAACCGGAAGATAAAAACAACGTAATTGAATCATTTTAAAGCAAAACATGCAAAATTTACAAACATATAAGAATAAAGAAACTGAGCTCACTGAGCCGAGTAACAGAGTGGATATATATATACATATATTTATATAATTTTAGTGCGACCGAATGCAATCAAAATAGGAGGTGCACATCTACTTGTTTTAGCAGTCCTATATACAAAATTTCAACATTCTGAGGCTATTCCTTTTGGAGTTATTTGAGATGCATACGTCTCACCACTTGATGAATTAAAGATTTTATATTCACAAAAAGGGAATAAATATATTTTTAAACAAAAGACGCAGCTTCGAAAACCTCATAAAGAATAAGCAGTATAACAACAACCGACGACAGGTACAGGTGCAGGTGGAAATGCAATAGAGCACCCAATGTTTCCTAAAGTAATAAATGGGTATAGCCCTATTACACTTCCATTTTTATTAATTTAAAATGTAATAAAATAAATGATAGTTTACAAAAACAGGCGACGACTGCAAAAAAGTGCAACATTGTGCTAATATATTATTGCGTCGCAAGGTATAAGAATACATAGCCAGTGCTAATATACGATCACGGGGAAAGGTATAAGAATCCTCAGCCAAGATTTTGGCGAGATGTCTCGGTTGATTGGCGATTAAATGTGGGAGGCAGCTATAACAAAGAAGTACCTTTTATTCAGATTGGGCAGAATAATTTTCTCATAAAAAATACAGTATGTTTCTAATGTACTCTCAAGTGTATTACGTTGTTTTAGTTAGTTCTAAAGAAACTTGACTTTTCACTAAAAAGAACTTCGAAATTTACCATTTTTAAAGAGATATACAGTATACATCTGTATTTTAAGCATTGTCGATATGAAGCATAAAAGACAAAAGTATTTTAATGTATTCTTTAAATACAGCTATTAGAGTCTTTCCTACTTCTTCTTTCTTTTCAGCTTTTCCACAGCACCAGAGTTTAGGTTCTGTTAAAGATTCCACGGAAGATTCCACTCCCAGCAAATGGAAAAGGCCCGTTTTGACAGGTAATAGAAATTTTATACTCTCGCGTGGAAGTCTTTTAATACACTTTCTGATTAAAATGATAATTTCGGTAGCGATATTATATGAATTTAAAAGCTTATTATCTTTCCGGTTAGCTTCATCGATAAGTCCAAGCGGAATTACATTTCCAAAATATATGCAAAATACCTTTATTCCTATTCCATTATGATGAAAACTTCATTGAACGCGAAATATTAATTTTTAAAGTCATAATGAATGATTAGCAAAATCCTCGAGAAATAAACACGCCGAAGTTATCAAAGACTGTGCCTCTATTTACGAATGGAGAAAGAGGGACTAGCCGTTTTGTTGCAACGATTTCCGAAGACCGTTTTCCCATTATCTCTAGCAGTTTCCCCAGAAGAGTAAAGGAGGGTGGGTGCGGAGAATGGATGGGAAGTTTCGTTCAAACGAATGCAAAGTCGGGTCATTCCACATTTAATACGTCGACCGTAAATTTATTCCGATTTAGCCTGATAGAAGGGGGCCCCATTCCACGAAATCCCATTCGGCACATTATTTCTGAATTGCGTTTCGAAACGATTTTGTTTGTGCTGCCATTGAATAATACCATTACGCAGAGTTATCTCTGAGTGGAAACGGCCACGCAGGAAGGGACTAATTTAAAAATGGTCGTAAACCTGTGGCTCAGTTTCAGATACAAGCATCATGCACGTATGTAACTACAGAATAATTTTAAAAAATAAAAGGATCTTTAATAATTATTCCCGAAAGGCAAAACGGATTTTTATTTTATTTAAGTTATCAAATCTACGTTTCTGCAAATGTGTTACCATCCGGCTGCTTCTTTTAATTTCAAAATGCATTTTCGAGTACTACGGTTGAAGGTACAGAGATAAATCTGACATATAATTTATTAGAAAGTTTTCATAAGTAAAATAAATCAAATGCATTACATAAATGTTTACCTAACAATGCGCATTTTACCTTTCAGTGCATATTCTTCCAACATGTTTAAGCGTATGGGTTCTGGGGTTCACCGATTAGTGCAAATTTTATATAAAAAATTCTTTTACACAACTTTTGAAAAAAAATTATGTTAAATTGCATTAAAACAAAAGTAAACAAATTACATTCGTTCATTTTTTAGCCCAAAGGGCATTTGCCCAGAAGGGCTATTAATTTCGTTTTGGCATTTTGCTTTGAAAACTTTAAATTATATTTAAAGAAATTAAATAATGAAGAATATGCATAAAATGTATATATTTTTCTCTCATTGGGATAAAACGACGGTACCTAGAGCCGTCGAATTTTGAATAATGTACGTTTCCACCCGAATATAGGCGTCTAGAAGCCCGAGATTTGAATTTTTAATTTGTTTTATTATCCATTTCATTTTGTAAAACTTTAACGAATTTTTGATTAACAAACTCAACGATTTCAAAGCGAGCAATGGCAACACTGTACCAAACAAAAAGCATTTTTATCGCCACCAAGCGAGATTGTATATCGTAAATTCTAAAGATATACTCAGTTTTAAATTGTTTTGCGATATTGCTGTTGAACTGAATTTCATAGTTTAAGTGCGAAGAACGTGATATTTAATATATAAAGGTAACTCACAAAACGTTAAAATGAAGCGCCCTCTTGGGCGTAATGTAAAATCTGAAAGCTTTCAGATTTTTTTTTTTTTTTTTTTTTTTTGAGGGGAGGGGTTGTTTACAAATCGAAGACATAAAGTTTCAAAAATAAAATATTAGATTTGCCGGGAAGGCAAGATTAAAGTAATATTTTACATTTTTATGAGATAGTAATGTAACTGAAATTGTTTGTGATATAATTATATAAATTTTTTTAGAAAATTATTTATGTTTTACTTATATGTAAGCATTTTTTTTTTCTGAAATTAGTTATGAGTATTCATTGCACATAAAATACCAATAGTCAGCTTTAAAAGAGATATTTTTCGAGACAGCCAAATTAATAAAGATAAATTTTTTCCAATTTAAATAAAAATACTTCTCATGATTTAGCTTACTTTATCTGATTGTGCTTACTTATTATCTGATAGAATATGAGAATATTAAAGTGAAATTCAAATGGGGACATAAAGCACCAGCATGAATAGATGACTTATATCTTTGCGATCACTTTCGAGTCGAACGTTCTATGGCTGTTTGCATACAAAATCTTAACAACAGTTGAAAAAAATAGTTTCAGATATTATCAGATTTATAAAATGTCTGAAGTGGTTATATTAGGTTAACTCATTGATGCACAAGCAACTCTGTGGATAGGAATGCCTTGCCTTTATGGAGGACTCTTTAAGGGAAAGTGGATAGTATTCATATTTCACATAGCCTAGAGTGATTGAGAGATTAATTCTGAATGAAAGGTAGAAATTTATGCCTTATTAGTCAAATTTATTAATTTTTTAAGTTTTAATTTCGAATCTGTCTCATTCATGGAACAGATAAAGAAATGCGTGTAACACTGGATAATTTAATCAAACCTAGATATTTCAAAACAGAAAGTTTTACAGAAACTATCTAATTTAGTGATCGTAAGTTTAGAGCTTAAATTTGGTATGTTTTAGGAAGCCTTATATTTCGATGTGTATTGTGTGAGTATCTAGCAAATATCAGGATCGGGAAATAAAAACTGTAGCATTTCTATGTCCTGATCCATTAGTTCCCTAAATTAGGTGAAAAATAAATTTTTTAACTTCATTAATTTGCATTAGCTTGAGTTTTGGCTCGGCAGAAACTTGCTAAAGACACTGCGTGAAGTTTAAAAAATTATGACATTGATAGATCTACCAAAAGTTGCCTGATAAAACAGTTAGCAAACTCTTTTTACCATGTGGCCATTAGTATTCGTCTTTGCAGCAGATATCCAAAGCTAACGTTTATTATACTTTTTACTTCCTTTTACGAAGTAAATGAAGTATTGTGACCACATACAATTTCAACGAAATCAGTCATATTTCAATCAAAATTTCCATTTTGACCGCTCTGAGAACCATTTGAACGATGTCTTTGCGTGACATCTGTACGTATGGACAGAATAAAGGACTCATTGTTTTTTTCTAAAACGGTTTGTAAAATTTATTCAGAAAATATTTTTTCGTACGTAAGTACGTATGTATGTATCTGGCATGACTCAAAAACGATGGATGTTTTAGCTCTATGTTATAGTTGCAGCCTGAAGGTTGTAATTGCTGATTGTTTCAGCTTTTCAACGACCGTAAACGTGTTTTTCGAGTTGTCCTGAGTAATACTGGCTAATAAATTGTGTTTCCATTCTTCTTTAAGGGTTGTTGTTAATCGCTCTAAATCTACGAACCCGTACAAGAACGCAGCAATATGGAATAGAATTATTTTTAAGCAATTTACATTACCCGAAAATCAGATATATTTGCCGTCTCCCTTTGAAAACCATGGTAAACACTAAGAGAAGATCTGAACCTTCAAGAAATTAACATTCAAAAACGGGTATTCAGCGTTCACGAATGCCATGTAAATATCGAAATTTCCAAGATGAGGGGATTAGAATCAATACGTATATTATATTAGAGTAGGGTACCGTTTTATTTTCTAGCTAGTAATTTAAGGGCAAGTTTTAGAGGGTAGAATTAGAGCATGTTCTACCTGCTGAAGGCCACCGTTGCTAAATCGGTTCTCTTGCTAGTGATATTCTGCAGCATTGTCTCGCCATTAGACTTGTCACGCCGAGGTCAGAACCGTTATTCTAATCGTGCAGCCGTTACTGTTCTTAGTTTTACTCGTGTTTAATTCATTATCTTTGATTTAAACCATAATTGTTGGCTTTCGTAAGCACGAAAGATGTCGTCTGTTAATTTTTATCGGAATCAAATAGAAAGGTTCTTTACACCCATTCTCCATCTCTGTGGTACTTACAAGACATAGTGATAATTCACTATTATTCTTTAGATTGTTTCGTACATTTTATATTAGCAAAGAAGATGGAACATCACGATGGAAGTATCATTAAAAATCAACGAACTCTCTTTGACCATTGAATGAACTCTAAGACTAAATATAAAGACTATATTCTGAAGCTGTTTCAGATATGGGTTTCTACATAACGTTTAAGGTAGCAATTCTTTGCAGAGTTATCAACAAACTCATTTAAGCTTTTTTAACCTTCCAGAAATTGCTACAAACAAGAAACTCTCTAATGAAAAGCATAAATGGCAGTGTACGTGAAATAATTTATAAAGTCAGCTTTGAAAACTTATTCAACGCGTATTGAAGTAAGAAATCTCTACTTCCGTAACAAAATGGTAACTTTCGGTATTGCAAGAAAATCAATTATTATTAAACCATTGTGCTAGATTTAAACTATGTAAACAAAAATGAATAATAAATTTCCTATAAAAATAATTCATTTATTTCTAAATAAGCTGTGAAACTTGAAGAAATTTGAATTCCCTAAGTTTCTTCCCGTTATGCAGAATCAGTGAAGATGTAACATAATTCAATTATAACATATCATAGTCAAGGTAATTATACAGTCATGTAAGTTAATTATGTTAAACTATTTCTCTCGGGTATCTGAGCGAGACATCTGCTAACATGACTTCGGGAAATAATTATAACCAGATGCGAAGTACAAAAATTGCTCAGGTAATTTCCCCTGTCTTATCTAATCCATTAAAGCTATATTAATTACCTTACTGAAAATTCTTAAATCTTAATTATCACCTAATTACTAAACATGAATTTACAAAAGCGATGTATGAAGTGGGGAGATAAAAAATTAATAATGAACAGATTTTTCCAAAATCAGATGATTAATAATAATTTGCAAAGTTCTATAATGGCTTTAAAAGAATCTAAATAATCCGAAAACTTTTAAAAATAAGGCAATCTGCAACGAAATATATCAGAAACGGGGCAAAAGAAATTAACAATGCCAGCATTTTTTTAATAGAATTTTGTTTTCGAGTTGCAGAAGAGAGAATCGGCAAAACCATGGAGAAAAATGTGTACTGCTG